TAATTTAGAATTTATCACCAACATGAAATATTCTCGTTTGTTTCAAAATCAAACTGCCCTTTGAACTATTTCAAAGTAAAGTCAAGTTGATATATATACTCTGATGTTAATTGTTAGTCTTGGCATTATTCGTGTCGCAAAGTGCATTTAATTTTAAGGCCTAGCATTTAATTTTTTTTAAACCAAACTTCAAATAATACTGATTTCTCTAAAGCATGCTTTTGAAAAATTTCTTCTTCTGCACATTTTAATTATGTAATATTTGACAGTCACGTAATTTTCAAACTTCAAAAGTATTTACAAAAGCACTTCCGATAGGAGTAGAGAAATGCGTTCACTGCAGAACATTGAAATAAATTTCTACTTTCAGTGGCAGGCACGAGGGATCCAAGTGAAAAAAAAATCAGGTATATTTGTAATATGTTTTTCCAATAGTGATTATTTACAAGGAAGACAATGATACTTCGATGATCATAGTTAACAGGATCTTAACTATATATGTGATATCCTTCCTAGCTAACAAGAGGGTTGGTGCTTATGGACTTGTTTGTAAGTGCTTTTAAAATGACTGAAAATGTTTTTGGTATATATTTTTGGAACCAATACTTAGTAAAAATACAAGTGAACCCTAGAAAAGCACTTAAAAGTTTTTCTTGGAAGAGGTAGAAAGCATTTCAAGTGTTTTTGGAACCCAATTTTTTATTTATTTAAAAACACTTTCAATCATTTCAAAAGCACTTCAAAAAGAAACCTATGTTTTTAGAATATAACTAGCTATGGATCATAGCATTTTCCTGTCATAAAATCCTAATACAATGTTTTGTTTCCAAAATTTCCACTACACTTCACTATTCATATGATTGGGAGTACTTTTATGCTCCTCACATGGAGCTAGATGTGTTAAATAACTCTCTCACTCTGTAGCTCTCATGTGGATCCAAGTAGTGGTGGGGTTATTTATTTGTTGTCAAATGCAAGTTGGGTAAAGATTTTCTAGATTTCTCACAGGAAATGTCTTGGACTAAACAGGGAGGGGAGTATATATGTGTGTGTGTGTGTGTGTATTTAGGACCAGTTTGAAAAAGTTCTGCCCAACTCTTGCCTTGCTACTTGCTTGCTACTACACTGTTTGACCGAATGTTCCAATTGGTTCATGCATTCACAAATTCATGAGAAAATATTGCAAAATATTTTTTCAAAGGCCTTGTCTCCAAAGTTCAGGTCAAGAAATATAATTAAAAGTACGGACCTCTAAAGTGAATATTATCTTTAGCCAAAAATATCATAAATATACAAAGGCTTTTTAGTTAAAATGGTCCCTGAGATTGAAAATCAATAGAAATGGTCCCTGAGATTGTCCACCATCCATTATTTTGGTCATTCCATTAAAAACTCTGTTAAGTGTCCTGGAGATCTTGACAGGAAGTTTAGGCAATTTTCAAAGCTTCATAACTCAATCGTTTCTTAACCAAATTCGACCCATAATATATCAAAATAAAGATAAGAAAGTGTAGAATAAGATTATACCTATTTGAAAGCCCAATAGTTGCTGGAGATGGCCAAAAAATAGCCTGAAAGGTGACTGGTCCGTAGGAAAACTGGAAAACTGGCCGGAAACTGGATAAACTTTAAACGTTCATAACTTCTTCAATACTTAACGGAATCGAGTGATTCAAAAATGAAAATCATACTTCTCAACGAGATGAAGAGCTTGGTACCTTTCTAGATGGCTAGTTAGCCGTGGTTTGGCCGGAAAATGGTTCGAAAGTGGCTAACTTGAGACCAAGACAACCACTTTCGAGCCTTTTTCTGGCCAAACCACATCGATTTAGCCATCAAGAAAGTTACCATTCTCTTTGTCTCATCGAGAAGTATGATTTTTATATTTGAATCACTCGATTTCGTTGAGTATTTAAGAAGTTATGAATGTTTAAAATTTACCCAGTTTCCGGCGAGTTTTCCAATTTTCCCGTCGATCAGTCACCTTTCAGGCTATTTTCCGGCTATCTACGGCAACCATTGGGCTTCCAAATAGGTATAATCTTGTTCTACACTTTCCTATCTTCATTTTGATATATTATGGGTCAAATTTGGTTAAGAAACGATAGAGTTACAAAGTTTTGAAAATTGCCCAAACTTTCAGCCAAGAGCTCCGGGACACTTAACGGAGTTTTTAACGGAATGACCAAAATAATAGATGGTGGACAATCTCAGAGACCATTTCTATTGATTTTCAATCTCAGGGACCAAAGTAATGTGTTTTGCAAATCTCATGGATCATTTCGGCTAAAAAGCCATATACAAATGTGGGGGAGAGAGAGAGAGAGAGAGAGAGAGTCAAATGTAGGCTAGAAAAATTGATAGCAACCTGGATAAAATTGGCAGACCATCTGTATCGACGATTGACAGATATATAGAGAGAAGGCAGGTGAAAGTTTTTGACAGCTAAAATGTAATTAAGTGATCATTATTGCATGCTATATGGTGCTTGTCCTTTTAATTCCTGTATGTTTAGAAGTCTTGACAAGTAAGTATCCAACACAACCAGGCCAACAACCTAAAAATATCTAGCCAAGCAATTGAGTAACTAAGCACATCATACATGGATCCGCTATTAATAATTGGATGGCAATAAATCAATACCAAAACATTGGTAGGAAGTAGATTGATGAGTCGATATTGTTTTATATTTTTACCGTAAGTTTAGTTATAATTTATTTATCATTTTGAGAGAATTTTGATAAATTTGCTTTATATTTCAATTGCAAGACATGTAAATCTACTTTGGCCAAAAAGCGATAAACTGAAGGAACTTTGGAGTAATTCTAGTTGGAGTGGATTTGTGTGTCTCTCAAAATAATTGTATCAAAATTTCAGACTTTATCTCCAAGCCATTTGATTATGGTGAATTAAAGAAGGCTGACTCTGCAGTGCTGCCAGTTTGGCGTCTTGGGCTATAAGTCATTAAAGATGACTTTTTTGGGAAAGTTGCTTCCGCTAAATTGCAGAGGACGTTTTTATCGACAACTTCCTTCGTAATAGGCGGAGTAGTTTCAGGAGGAGGATTGTCTCCCCTTCTAATCTCTCTCCCTTTCTCTCCCCTTTTATTTAAAGGGTTACGATTAAGTCACGTCAACATCTTGTATTGATTTTTTATTAGAGAGAGAAAGACAAAAAGAACACCATGAGAAGAGGGAAGGGAAGGGAATGGAAATATGAGGGGAGAGAATCCTACTCCATAGTTTCACTACAAAAGAGGATGGTCTCTCTTTGCAGGATATATACGTTCATTATTGATGCTTGTCCTATTGTGAGCAATAATACAAAAATGAACCTTAGAGAAGAGAAGATTAAACTCAAGACATCATAAAGATGTCTACACCTGCAAGTGTCATCATTTATATTGAAAGCTAGGGTTTGTTGCAGTTAGAAATTTCTGCAGTACGAAATTATAGGAACATTCAAATGTGGTTAAATGCTTAGTTGATTCGATCACTAGATAATGATATTGTAGGGTTTTCATGTGAATCATAACAATCAATTTAAGCTTTAAACTCGTTTCATAAAAAAAATAATAATAAATAAATAAAATTTCTGATCGGGTCTCAATAAGGTCATGAAAAACATTTCTATTTATTTATCTTTTATTTTACATATAATGGATTTGCCTGGTACGTACTTGTAAAGAACTCAAACATGACAACGGTCTGATAATACGATATGATGACAACGTTGCGATTGTTATTGATCAAGAAGGAAATCCAAAAGGAACCCCAAATTTTTAGGATTTTTATAACAATTCCGCCGCACTATTATAATTATAATTCCGGCCATTCTTGATGCTTCATCTCGTTCATGATTACTTATATTTTCCGTAATTGACTTGTGCATGCTTTATCTTAATGAAATAAACAAATGAATACTTGAATTTTTAAAGTGCTAGTAATTAACATTTTTTTAAAGTGCTAATAACAAAAATAAATATAAAAATTGCCAACCCAAAAACAAAATATCCAAGCCTGCCAACCCGAACATAGGTTATGCAAAGGATGGCTCTGTGGACACTGTACAAATCGTTGGACACACTCCCCTTCCTTTGTACTTATCTCTCTTCCTCCCTCTAGAATTAGGCCCCAATGTGATTTACTGAAGTGATGATTTTAGCCCTTGAATATTCATTGTCCTTCAATCAATTAAGATAAATATAAGCAAACCGTCAGTTGGATATATGCTATTGCCTATTGGATTTACCAATATTATGTATTTGGAGAGCCATAAATCGTTTTCTATATTTTGACAATGTTCTTCACTCATTTTGGCAATATAAGATGGTAGTACGACATGTATTTGGAGAGCCATAAATCGTTTTCTATATTTTGACAATGTTCTTCACTCATTTTGGCTATTTACACACCTTTTATTTTACACATACCTTGTTTGTCTTTTAATTTTATTCAGTTCATTTAACTAAAAATTAAAAAATATATGTGAAAGATAAAAAAAATGATATAGCACCTACAAGAGAGGTTACTACCTAAAACCAGTCTTAAAAGGGGGCCATTCAACATTGTTGTGAGAGGTCATGCGTGGACGCTTTGTGAGTACTGGTAGGATAACGTCTCATCATTCCATGTCCCAGACCCCAAACTCCAAACCCTAACAGTAGCAGGAGTAAAACCAGGTCAACCCTTTCCCTAAAAGCATGACATCATCATCCACGTCACCATGCAGTCTCTCCGGTCATCTCCTCTGTTCTCTATGGCCCCCACCCAGGAGGATCATCCCATTTATAAGGATTACGAGGATCTTTCAATCACATTCGTTCATTGTACATGATACGGTCAGAAATGATTGTAAATTTTTTTATTTAAAATTGAATATAAACAGTACCTGACAAAAATTAACTGTATAATTTACGATAAACAGATGCAATTAAAGGATCTTGGGAATCCTCATAAAGAGGATCCGGCGAAAAGGATCCTCACTCCCACCCCCCTTGCCTTCTTCCCTTTAAGTACCCCCCACAAAGTCCCAGCCTTCCATCCGCGTCCGTAAATCTATCCATCTCTCCAAACTCTCCAGTATTCGCTCCACTCATTAGAACAGAAACTCCAAAAACCTTCCCAAAACCCTACTACACACCTCACGCGCCAATGTACGGACACAACAGCACCGCATTCCCACGCGCCCCCGATTTTCAGTATCATCACGGCTCGCATGCGGCTCTTCCGTTGCCATATCATCACGACCACCTTGTCTCCGCCGAGTTCAGCAACAGCTGTAGCAGCGGCTCCAGCAGCTACGGAGCCTCGCCGATCAGCAACGGGGCTTACGAGTGCTACGGAGAACCGGACCCGAACCTGATTCAGCGAAGCGTCAGCAGCCATTCACTGCAGAAGACTTGCGGGACCCACAAGTTGGTCTCCGACTTGCTGGAGTCAGAAACCGGCCATGTCCGCCGGGTTTATAGCACTGGGGACTTGGATTTGCAGGTTCGATTTAATATGGAGAGTTGGTTTCTTACTTAGTTGCTTAGATTTTAATGACTTAAATGCCCACGGTTATTTCTTACCTGCCATTTTGAATCGTCACATTTACAGAAACTAATCTCCATGCAAATTGAGTTCGTATAGTTTCATACCACACCGTAAAATACTTATGTTCCGAGACTATTATTACATTGATAGACAAAAGTTAACATAATTTCCTCAGTTCCATTCCAAAAACTTACATGATCATTGCTCATTTGTCCAAATTTACTTCTATATGTTACTTACTGCAACTGTGCATTTAGATAAGAGTTAACTTGATCAATAATTCGAGGTGATTTACTCTTTGTTCGTTTGGGCGTTGGTGGTGGGACTTGCCCAAATAACGTGAGGGTTTAGGGCTAACACAATGCGACAAGAGAATATTTTGTATTTTTGCTCTCATGTGTCACTTGTCGACGTTGTCGGGTTGTAGCTAGGGTTTTACTGGAATTAATATAATTTTGTGTATTTGTGTTACAATATTGTGGATGCATGCAGACAATTAATAGCAAGAACAGTAATGGGGTGCAAGTAGTGCAGCAATTGCAGTATGGTGGTTATAATAGAACATCATCAGAAAGTAGTCTGCTATCGAGTGAGACCAGTATGATTATAGAAGGGATGAGCAAAGCCTGTCGGTATAGTCCCGAGGAGAAGAAGGAGAGAATTGAGAGGTATAGAAGCAAGCGCAACCAAAGAAACTTCAGCAAGACCATTAAGGCAATACCACTCTACTTCAATTAATTAACTATTTAATTATTTGCTTTGATTTGAACATTGCTCTGCACCTCATAGTATATGGATACTTTATACAGATTACAATACACAGTTGTCGTTTCTTCTTAACTGCCAATGTCTGGTACATTTATTAAAAAGATTATTAAGAAAGACTATACAAAAAGCAGTTTTTGTACTCATATCAAACTGTATTTGTCCTTAAAAAGAGGGTGGTCTACTCACATATCTATTTTTATTTCTCACATACTCTTTGTTTATTTTTTGTTTTTAATCTTCTTCAATTCAGTTATCTGATGGTCAAAAATTAAGAGTATATAAAAGGTAAAAATTGATGTGTGAATACCACCACCCTAAAAAAATCTTCTTAAATGGGAGGAAACCAAGTAACTTTTGCGCTCTTATATATCTTTCTTCTAAGTTGCTGCTTCACCCGACCCACTAGCTAGTGCCACTTTAAGATTTATGTATATGGTGGCCTAGTTCTTGTTGCTTTTTGGCCCACGATTTCTCTCGTGTAAAATTTTGGCTACTTTACTCCTTTTGCCTACTATGTATGATTCCATGGTCTGCGTCTGTCACATCCTACATTGTTTCTATTTCATTTCAAATAGTGGAAAGGATATGGTAGTGCATTTTTGACATATAAGTTTTTGGGAGCTAGCTTGGCCTAGCTCTATAATGGACTAATGGAGTGGTTGTTTGAAAAAACTGAATGAAATGACAATTAAAATGTACACTAGTTGAATCATTTGTGCATGGAAAAGATTAACTCCACGGGCAAGAGTTAAGCGGCACCCCATATACTCAAACTTTTGAGTGCGTACAACTTATGAAATAATCATTTCTACGTAGTTAAACGAGTGTCTATCGTAATTAATTGTGAAATTCATCACGTATATATTATTTGAGTTTTTTTTTTGTACATGAATAAAATAGCAAGGTATAGATGTGGTGGCATGTCATGCAACAGAGTAAGTTAATAAATTATTTTTTATACAATGATAGTTTACACTAAATTTATATACTTATATCAACGTCATTCCAAACTCTTTATCTTTCTGTTGGCCAATTTTATTTTCAATTTCATAAATTCTTGATCCTGTCGACATATCAACTTTCATTCCATCTGTATGTCTATGCAGGTCCTATATTAACAGACGTTCAACATTCTATGTCTTACTCTTGGACGTCTGTTTGAAATTGTAAACTTTTCCAGGATAGAGTGATATATTTATTTTGGTTTTTTTTGACGCTTAGATCATCAAGTTCTTTTACTTGGAAATTAATTTTACACATTGCCTAAATGCAAAAGCATGAAACCCATTTAATTGAAGAAACTAAAGTGACCAAGTAGCCACAAAATGTGTCTTAGTTAATTAATTAACCACTTCTGCTGATGAATCCTTCATATCTTAAGAAAAGGGTACTACTCACTTATAAGTAATAAAAGTATACGGACCTTACGCTTTATTACAATATCACTACATTTGAACCTCAAACCTTTAATTTCCTTCTCTCCCTTTTCTTTTCCTTAATGAAGAAGCACTAAAACTTGGCATTATTTATGTGTTCAGTACGCTTGTAGGAAGACATTGGCAGACAGCCGGCCGCGCATCAGAGGCCGGTTTGCAAGGAATGATGAAATTGAGAAGAGTCCTAATGTTCAATGGAGCAACATGAGTGGGGAAGAAGATGAGGAGGAGGACGATAGTTGGTTCAACCTTCTCGATGCATTTTCTTCAATCGAATCTAATTCTGTAATCTAGCTAGCAGCATAAGACCACCTCTAAGTCCTGATGATATTTAGCAAGTAGCTACGCAAAATTTGGGCTTCTTGATTTGAACTTTAATTATTGTTATTATGCAGAATGCAGCTCTTTAAGCGCTATTTAGCTTGAAGTACTAGTTCATGTAAATATAGGTCATTGTATTGTTAGAATTAATGACAATGTTGAACTTTAAGACTTTAATTAATCAAGGGTGAAGCTTTTAGTTATCTACATATTTATAATTTGCTTTTACATAATTAAGGTCGTGCTCAAGCTTCACTTTAGTTTTCCAGGATAACACAGTACGTGACAACTGATTGGAAAAGATGAAAATAAAGTCACTTTCATTCAGAAAGAACAGATAAAAACAAAAGAGCTGATTAAACAGGACCACAACTCTCAACTTTATGTTTTGTTAAATTAGTTCGTAATTGACTTCATAAACTGTTTGGCTAGTCAATTTAATTTAGGGTTAACTGCATTATTTTACACCCTCAAGATTTACGGTGAATTTCAAAATGAACCACCATATTTTAATTTTTTCACATTGCACCATGATCAGTTAAAATCGTATTTAAGCCCTCTAGCTATTTGACCTCGTAATTCTTCATTAAAGGTTCAAGTTTGTTACCGGGGGATGTCCTACATATTGCAGAGGCTTTTACTGCTTCTATGTTTATTTCCGTTTCTAGGAATAATAATAGTATTGCTCATTGTTTAACAAAGGTTGCATTGTCTGTTGAGACAAACATAGTTTGGGTTGAGGAGCCTCCTAGTGTTATTCAGGATATCCTTATCCATGATATTTTGTAATTTTCCTTTGTTAATGATATCATCTTTTATTCAAAAAAAAAATGTAGCCAAGTTTTCTTGTGTATTTACTGTAAAAAAATTATTCAATTTAGATTTTAATAACATTTATTATAAACAGTAATTGCTTGTGGGTTCGAAAGAACAACTCAAAAAATTCCGGCATGCAGCACAACGCGGTTAATTATTTAATTAATTTTTTTTTTTCTTTGTATCCATTGTTCTTGGTCTGGTATTCTCTTAAAGAATCAACACCATAATTGTTTTGTTTCAAATATTTCGTGATGAAAATCAACTGAGGTCTAAATATAATTACGTCTTGAACAACTTTGTAGTGTTGGACCAAAAAAATCAATTATTTGCAGTGTACGCTTTAATCATGATATTAGTTGCCGATTTAGATAGGCATAAGCCCAACCAATATACCTAGCAAATCAATCAATCATATTGTTTGAGGCTATCGAGGAACACGAGATTTTTAATGTATCCTGCATACGGGATAGTATGTTTATGTTATTATACGATTGAAGATTTTTTTTTTTCTTAAAATGTCCCTCTAAGTAAGATAATGACATTATAATTTCTGAACACATCGAAAAATTGCTCATTCAGCACATGCAAGTTTCCTAATTGACTATTGGAACGTGATCATCAGTTATATCATCATGTGTGGTGTTTCAATACACAGAAGAGTTGCCGTCAACAAAGAATAAAATTGGGCATGATAAGTACTTATCAATGTCATCTCAATCATCCTCATATTTTCAAAATGAAAAGAGAAGTTTAATCTATTCAACCTGCTAATTAGTAGTGTATACATTCGTCAACGTGCGAGTGAAGTCCAAAAACAAAACCTATATATCTAACTAGGAAAAAACCTCTTTCAAGCAGTGGCGGAGCCACTAAAGGGCAAGGTAATCATGGCCTATCCTGTAATTTCTTTCCCTTTTCTATGTATAAGATATAATATAACCTCTTTTTATTTCTGATAAGTTTAGTTGCAATCTTGAAATTCATGGATTTGAGATTCTCTTATTCTAGTTATAATGATGTAGCTTCTTCAACTTGTTAATTACTTCACGTTCATCTTTGGGCATAGGAGATTAATTTAGGTCGAAGTTTTTGACCGCGGTAATTGAATCTAATTATCAGGATTTATCACTTACTCTAAGAACGTTGGCTGATATTTTTCTTTATTGGCTTGAACTTCTAGTCCATCTGCTCTTAAATATTAGTTGGATTATGTGACTATATGGTTGATGCGTATGGGTATAATCTACCTCTATCTTGCATATTAACCTAATGGTTGATGCGCGGTATGATATTTTTCTGAGTTGAGATAAATAAATCGAAATACAACCAATCTATCTCGTATTTTAGGCATTAAAAAATAAAGTTTCATATTTGTGAAAGTCCCCCCGTGATGTAAGATCTTGGCTCCGCCACTGCTTTCAAGTCTATAAAAGTGTTTTAGACAATAAAAAAAACATTTCTGACATTGTTTGACAGAAAAACTTAGTAATTAGAAAAAAGTACTGGAATATTTTGACACATCTCTAACTTAATTTCTGAACACACCGAAAAAATTGCTCATTCAGCACATGCAAGTTTCCTAATTGGCTATTGGAATGTGATCATCAGTTATATCATCATGTGTGGTGTCTCAATACACAGAAGAGTCGCCATCAACAAAGAATAAAATTGGGTTTGATAAGTACTTGTCAATGTCACTCAATCATCCTCATATTTTCAAAATGAAAAGAGAAGTTTAATCTATTCAACCTGCTAATTAGTAGTGTATACATTCGTCAACGTGCGAGTGAAGTCCAAAAACAAAACCTATATATGTAACTAGGAAAAAAACTCTGTCAAGTCTATAAAAGTGTTTTAGAAAATAAAAAAAACATTTCTGACATTGTTTGACAGAAAAACTTAGTAATTAGAAAAAAGTACTGGAATTTTTTGACACATCTCTAACTTAATAGCACTTTTAGAAGAAATTCTTATAACCATAAGTGCTTGTCACAGAAGCAGTTCCAGAAAAGCTCTTGACTATCTCTAAATTGGGGCTTTTAGTTATACACTTCTTAAACAAGTCCTTTACAAGGAGCTAAAGTTTAAGACACCGACCCAATAACAGTAAAAGCTAGAGCATGGTCAAGGCTCAAGCAGCTCCATAATCCACTTCCATCCTGTGGAGCAAAAAACGATCACAAAGTGACACGTGAACTTTGGGACAAAAGAAGACAAAAATACCCTTGAGATATAACGGGATTCCTACGCGCAAGTAGTGGGTAATCATCCTCAACCAATAAAAAAATGCTCCAAAAGAGGTAACCAATTCCAAACTATCTCATTTTAGGTAATTATTTCCAAAACTTAATTTCTCTAATATATTATTTAGTTAATTAATTATCTAAATAATATATTCTTCCCATATCTCCTAAAATCATCCCTTAAAATCATAAATAATTGATTAATTAGGGGATCAACTCAATTAATCCCCTAATTGTCAATAAAGTGACCCAAATTAGTAGACAAAACCGGCCACCTCCCTTTGCTCCATACCTTTTCTGATTTTCTCCACCTTATTACCCAAATAAAGCTAGTCATTCAATTTGGTAACTTCCCATTTATTTTTCTCATATTTAATTAAGCCAATAAATTGGCTAATTACATCACAAACTCACCAAAAAACATACAAAGTGGCCGGCCACTTTCTTGGAAAAGTGGACCAACCTAGTCCTATAAATAGTCACCCATTTTTACCAAACACTCATTCCAAACCTCTTGCAAAAAATCCCAAATACTCTAAATACTATTTCTCTCTAAAATTCTAACTTTGGCATCGGAGGTTCTTCGGCCAAAGCCCCCCCCATTCATCGTGAGCGCGTGAGGCTTTTGGCCTTAACCTAAGGTGCTAGTTGTTTTGTAGGTGCAAAATCGTCCAAGATCGAGAGGAGAAAATTTGCATCCACAAATTGGTGCTTTCATTGAGAGTTGAAATCCATACTCGTAGAAGACTCTCGCACAAAAAGGTTTTTTCTTTATTTTCTAGTCCATTTGAATATTTTTCATACGTTCTTATTATTAGAATTTTTTACTTGCAAAGGTTCTTTGATAAAACGTATAAGCAAAATATAATGGCTAGAAATTTAGAAAATTCCACAAGTGAAAATTCTAATGTTCAAGAAATGGGATTGCGGAGATTTGTGAGGCTAAATGCGACAATAAGTGGAGCAGCACCACCACCACGAGTTTCCACCATGGGAACCACCACAGTGGCGAGGTCCATGGTGCCTTCACCACGGCTCGAGCCATGCCATCCAAGGCTAACGGCACCAAGGCCATGGCCCAAGCCATGTCACTCCAAGCCCAACGTGAATTCAACGCGTTTCCAAGCCAAGCCCAAGTCTCGCACCTTTGTGCATCACACTCTGAGCAGCCTGCTCCCGACGAGCAACCCACTCCCGACGAGTAGCCTACTCCAATGGTCCAGCCTGCTCCCGACGAGCAGCCTACTCTCGTGGCCCAGCCTGCTCCCAACGAGTAGCCCACTCCCGTGGTCCAGCCTGCTCCCGACGAGCAGCCCACTCCTGTGGCCCAGTTTGCTCCCGCCAAGCAACATGTTCTCGCAGCCCAACCTGCTGTCGTGACCCAGCCTGCTCCCGACGAGCAGCCCATTCCCGTGGCTCAGCCTGCTCCCGCCAAGCAGCCTGCTCTCGTGACCCAACCTGCTCCCGACAAGCAGCCCACTCCCGTGGCCCAGCCTGCTTCCGTCGAGCAGCCCACTCCCGTGGCCCAGCCTGCTCCTGCCAAGCAGCCTGCTCTCGTGACCCAACCTGCTCCCGACGAGCAGCCCACTCCCGTGGTCCAGCCTGCTTCCGTCGAGCAGCCCATTTTCGTGGCCCAGCCTGTTTCCGTCGAGCAGCCCATTCTTGTGGCCCAGCCTGCTTCTGCCAAGCAGCCTGCTCCCGACGAGCAGCCCACTCCCGTGGTCCAGCCTGCTTCCGTCGAGCAGCCCACTCTCATAGCCCATCATGCTCTAGTGGTTTTCCAAGCAGCCCAAGTCAGCCTAAGATTATCTCAACCATCCGGACCTACCATCGAGCCGGGGGCATTCTCACCACATTTTTTCGTGAATTTGACATTTCTCAACTCAAATCTCGTGCCCGGAGTCTACCACTCTTCCATTGCCCAAGGAGGCATATTCCTTCCAAGCTCTTCCAACCCAAATGGAGAACAACACTTGTCACGACAGGTCATAGAGTTGACAAGCGTCCTCGCACAGCAGACGACCTTGGTGAACCGGCTCTTGCAACGCACCGAGATGCAACGTGCCCCAGACGAGATGTTCCGAAGTAGGACAAGGGCAGACAAAGAACCTCTTCAGCAGCGTCCCGGTAAGCAGCCACTCGACCAG